ACTGTGAATTGTGCAAGACTGTTGAATCACAGATCTGTACCTCTGAAACAAATAATGCAATATATGTGAAGAAAAAAAAGAAGAAGATAGCAGGAAGGGAAGAATGGAGGGGGGTAAATCGGAGGGGGAGACGAACATGAGAGACGATAGACTCTGAAAAACAAACTGAGGGTTCTAGAGGGGAGGGGGGTTAGGGATGGGTTAGGCTGGTGATGGGTATTAAAGAGGGCACGTTCTGTGTGGAGCACTGGGTGTTATGCACAAACAATGAATCATGGAACACTACATCACAAACTAATGATGTAATGTATGGTGATTAACATAATAATAAAAACTTTAAAGAAATAAAAAAGACAAGAAATAACAAGTGTTGATGAGGATATGGAAAAAAAGGAACCCTGTACACTGTCAGGGAGAATGTAAATTGGGGCAACCACTGTGGAAAACAGTATGGTGTTTCCCCCAAAAAATTAAAAATAGGACTACCATATGATTCAGTGATTCCACTACTGGGTATTTACCTAAAGAAAATGAAAACGCTAATTTGAAAAGATACATGCACTCCTATGTTTATTGCCGCATTATTTACAATAGCTAAGATGTGAAAGCAACCCAAATGTCCAATGATAATGGATAAGGAAGAAGGGATTATTTATATATATAATATATATATATAATGGAATATTACTCAACCATAAAAAGAATAAATGAAATCTTGACCGTTGCAACAAATGGATGGACCTAGAGGGTATTATGCTAAGTGAAATAAGTCAGATAAAGACAAATACCATTTGATTTTGCTCAAAGTTAACTTTTTGGAATCTGTTGGTAAAAAAAAAAAAAAAAAATAGATAGCCATGGAGCCAGCCGTGGCAGAGTCCCTTCCATTTACTAGGTCAGAAGATGTGTAGAAATTAGTGAGAAGAGGAAATAAGATTAATTTGTTCTTTAATTAAAACTTGTGTAGGAGGGTGTAAGGCAGAGGAAGCACCTCGGGACACTCTGGCCATGTGAGCAGTGCGCCCCTTACTTTGCAGTACTGAAGAAGGCTTTCCTGCCTAAGGGAGAAGAGCAGTGAGGGCTGAGCCTGGAAAGGAAGACTGCATCAGGTCATACCAGGCCTCGCCAGCCATGGCACCAGCTTTGGATATATCCTGGGCACAAAGGAGACCCAGGAAAGTATGTTAAGCGGAGGAAACCCTAATCAGTTTGGTCTTTAAGAGCTCAGTCTAGCTGTTCTGTGAAGAAAGGATATAATCCCCAAAGGCATGGACCATGATTTGTCCATCTTTGAAACTATCACAAGGGACAACCCACTGAGAGGAAATAGGAACTACTCCATCCATGGTTGTTAAAGAATTCATGTACAACAGTTATTCACTTCCATAATTTGCAGTCTGGCTAAAATAGGCTGACTCCAGCAAAGCTAGGTATGAGTCCTCTCTCAGCAATGTATATAGCCAATTTCTGAGCTCTGTCCTTGCAGAGGGAAAAGAACAGCATCTCCCTTTGATTTACCCCACATAATCCCCTCACCTTCCCTCTAGTCATCTCCATGAGGTGCTTCACTAACAGTGGTGATGGAAGCAGGACTTTGTCTTCATTCCCCATGACAAAAGGCATAAACTCCCCAAATTGCTTTGGAACCTAGTTGAGGCCCTGGGGGGTGGAGGGAAGCAGGAGTTACCTTGCCAGGCCTGTTCTCACTGAACACCAGCTGCACAGGCTAGGGAGGACTGCACAGGCAAAGGAGCAAAGACTCTTCATCTCTAAGACATCCTTACCTGCAGGAGGGAAAGCTGCTTGAAAGCACTCTTCTCAAATGTGTTCATATTGATGGTGGCCAGAACTATAGAGAGAAGAGACAGGTGCTGCATGAGGTACTGTGCCAGTGCCACCAGGGGATAGTTGGAGGCCCTGGCACACAGAAGGAAGGTGTGCTAATTAGTAAGGATAATGAGATACTACTTATATTCCACTTTGCAAAGTACAAAGGGCTGCCATATAAGTCCTCACATCACTGGACACTTGCAAGGACTATGCAAGATAAGAAGGGCAATTGAAATTAACCACATTTTGTGTAGAGAAGTAGAACAGGCCAAGATCATACAACTTGATTAGACCTAGGAACTGAATACAAGTCTCCTGACCCAAGTTCAGCACACTTCTCACTGTACCATAATAGTGAGGGGAGGAGCCACCAAAAAGGAGGAGAAAACAGCAATATATGGAAGTAACTGGTCTTGAACTAAGGACTACCTGACAGATACTCCCTTGGACCCAAATGGCTGCTGATAATACCATGGTCATTTCCCTCACCATCATCACCTTATGATTCTGTCTGAACTGTTCTGTTACTTCACTCTCTAGGATGAACTCTACTCAGAGTCCACAGCGAGTTTCCGGCTATAAGATCCCAGGACTAGAACTTGGTCTAGGCCATCTTCCTGACACACATCTATCTTCTGTTTCTCCATGTGGCTTCCACATTGGTGCAGAAGACCGGGATTCTAAGCCATGCCCAGCACCAATCCAGATTCTTAGCCCACGGAAAAAGTATGAAAGATGGAAAAGTGTACTGAGACCAGAAGATCTCAGTTATAGCTCTGTTTAAAGACAACATGACTGAGGGAAAGAGATGGGGTTGGTGTGTGAGCTCTTCACTTGGACCTTGAGTCCTCATCAGTATCAAGTTTCTGGAGTCCACTCCAATGCAGACACCTGAGATATACTTGGTTCAAGATTCAAACTGGCTGGTGAAGAGGCTCAGTTCTTCCTTAAAATAAGTCTAAATTTGTACCTCCTTTTATGTGGCCTTTTAGCACATTTTCTGTATCATCCGAGGTCACGAGCAGTTCCACAATCCCTCTTTCCAGCAGGGCCTGTTGAGAAAACTGGACAAAATGAACCTACTTCCCTTGCTCCCATGAGAAGAAGGAAGCATAAGCAAATTAGGGAAAAATATAGCTTGGGCTCACTTGGGCAATGTGTGAGCCAGAGAGAAAGGTTTGAGTTTAGAGTCTGACCATCTGCAATTCAGTAAATTAGGAGAAACTTGGTCTCTGTCCCAGCCTGTGTTGTTCCCAGGGATGACCACAAGAGCAGCTGAGTTAGGAGCTCTGACATCCATGGTCACAGTCTCAAGGGGAAAACCCCAAGGCTGACTTTTATGAGGAAGCACTTGAGGGAGGCTCTAAATCCAAGAGAAAGAGAGAAGGTTTTGAAGCACTCTGTGCTTGAAGGAAAGAGGCCAAGGCTGTGGGGATCACAGATAAACTTCATAAAACTTGGGTCCTACCTGGACACTCAAAGGAAGCAAGAAAGTATGTCATGGCTTCAGGGAAGGAGGGGGAATCTAATTTGCAAATTGCATTTACTAAGGGCTGAGGAGCAGACAGATGACCAGAGGGCAAGAGGACCCCAGCTGTGTGTCTTACATATTCACTAAGCCATGTCCAGGCCTGGCGGGGTAGTCAAGTAGTAAATTTTGAAAGTCAAGGAAAAACAACGCTAGCTGAATGAGACTGATTTGAGGGGGTCTAATGTGATGCCCCTGAGAAAAGTTAGAGGCGGGGAGTCCCTCACAGAGCCTGTCCAGCCCCAGAGGCCAGAGCTGTGTGGCAGGAGCCAGGATGTCCGGGAGCCCAGCACTGCCCTCCTCCCCCTCTTGTCACCTGCTCACTCTTCCTTGGCCAGGAGGCAGCTCTTCCCCACTGCCTTCTGGGTCGTACCTCCCAGGGGTCTATGTGTGGACACAGCTAACATGTGACCCCGCATTCTGCTTAGCAACCTGGGGAGGAGGTCCAGTTTACACTCGAAACTCATCAGCTTCTTCACTGTGGGAAATCAGGGACGGGAAGGGTCCTGAGCCATCAGAAAGGCAACCAGGCAAGACTGCAGTTATTCCCTGGCCTGAGACACGCCCCGCCCCCCATGGAGGAGCAAAGGCAACAGAAGAAAGAATGTTGACACTGCAGGTCAGAAAGCCACAGGACGAGAGCTGTTGTCATTAAGTTCATGAAGCATTATTTACTATGGATGTAACTTTACCAGCCCCCAGGTTTAAGGAGAATTATGGGTCATAGAGATAGCAAGAGAAAGGTATAATCTTTCCACATCATGTTTTATCTCCTAATAAAGTTGTCTGAGTACATCTTGACAGCACTGCAGATTCGCAGAGACACTGAACTTGATCTCACATAGTCTCATCCCCCACAGCACCTACCACAGGGTCACTCATGCAGCAGGGCCTCGAAAATGCATGCCTGTAAAAATGACAGAGTGAGGAAGGAAGCATGTAAATACAAGGACACACCAAGTGTCTCTTACCTTTTGAACATAAGGCATGTAATCTTTATCCTTGGCAAATGAACCATATTCATTCTCCACCTGCACTGCAATGATGGGGCCTCCCCTGTGGTACTGAGAAACAAGCAAATCAAGGGAAAATGTGAAGCTACGGGTGGGAGAAGGCTGGAGTCTCTGAGTTTGCTGCTAAGATCACATACCTGGTGCGGTAAGCTTTGATCCAAGTAGTTACTTCATGTTCCTTTGGTGCTCCCTCTCTTCCCCCAGGTCCTGGAGTCAATCACCTCCAGGCACTTCAGCTGTTGCACAGAGTCCTGCCTTCCCTAGTCTTTGGAGATAAGCAACTCCCACAGTTTTCCCTCTATTTCTCTTACTAATTATCTGCTTAAATATGAATCTCAAACCTACAAACTCCCCTGCTTCATTGCCCACTCTAGCCCCTTTCCCCAGCAAATGAAAGAGGTGTTCCTTCCCCCTCCTGCCTTAGGATAATGCCACCACTTGTGCGTGGAGTCTCCCTGCTTCCTACTCTCTGCCCTGTTCCCTCTACCTTCTGTACTTTCAACCTCTCCTTCCAAATCAGCTGACCTCCAGCATCATAGAAACGTATTTGGAACCCTCACATCGGAGAGGGAGAACACCCAGGACTGTTACCCCACCCACAGTTCTCTTGCTCTTCCCTTTTTAAGAGCCCTGTTTCTTAAAAGAGTTACCAGTTGTCTACACTCAGTTCTCTCTGCTTTCTCACTTTGGTTGGTTTGGTTTGGTTTTTTTGCTTTGCTTTCTCACTTCGACTCCACCCCTCAAACCACCACAGTAATTCTTTCGATGCCGTCATGCCACCTGTCATCAACAGTAACCTAGTTGAAATTATACTGACATTATAAGTTTTCACTGTTTAACTTAATCCTTCAATGTCCTTCCACACTCCAGTGCAGAAGCCTCTCCATACTGAAGGCAGAGTGAGCTCTTGACAGCCTGACCACTCCACCCCCCACACGGTTCCTATGGCCTACAGAGTAAATGCAAATTTTAGAGAGAGGTATTCCCTTTTGAACAATGGGACAGAAGAGAGTGAGCATGCCCCTGTGTTGGAACAGAAGAGAGTGAGCAAGTGGGGTGGGTTTTCCTCTACTGCCTCATCTTTTGCCTCTTTCCCACCTTACTTTCTACTTCCAGCTCTTCAAATTCCTCATTCTGTCTCTTGCTCTCTGATCCTTACCCATGTTGGATCCTCCTGACCATTGCTAATGCCTGCCCATGCCTCAGGCCACTGTTTAAGTTACTTTTTCTGGAAAGCCATGCCCTGAGCCTCCCTTCCTCCCTTGTTGCTACCCTATGAGGGCTGTCGCGCACTCCTTCCACTGCAGCAACTATCCCTCATGTTGTAAGTGGTCATTTGTCTCCATGGGGCAGGAACCATGTCTGTCCTTCTCACCATTGGAAGCTTAGCTCCTACACAGCACCTGGCACATAGCAGGTGCTCAGTAATTACCCGTTGAGTGAACATAAGTATTCCACACTGATGAATTAAGAAAAATTGTTTGTATTATCGAACCATATCTTCTCCCCAACCTGGAGGGTGAGATTTCTAAAAACTGAGTCATAAATTCACAGTTGACCTTACAAAACAAACAGGGTTAGAAGGATGAAAGTCCCATGTGAAATAGTGAAGACACTCTAAAAATTACTTAAATGTAGGGGCGCCTGGGTGGCTCAGTTGGTTAAGCGACTGCCTTCGGCTCAGGTCATGATCCTGGAGTCCCGGGATCGAGTCCCGCATCGGGCTCCCTGCTCGGCAGGGAGTCTGCTTCTCCCTCTGACCCTCTTCTCTCTAGTGCTCTCTATCTCTCATTCTCTCTCTCTCAAATAAAATAAAAATAAACAAAATCTTTAAATAAATAAATAAATAAATAAAAATTACTTAAATGTAATAATTAAAACAAGATAACCAAATAGAAAACCTTAAAATACTAACAATTTAGTAATGATAAATCCTCTAAATTTCATTTGCACTTAAAATTCCTTGCTTTTTAAAAGTTTCCTAGGATCTCCTACCTCATGATTTCAGTGGGGTGTTTGTAAATTCACTTTGCTTGCGGCATCTGTACTAATGGTATGTGGCATTTGTACTTGTGCCTGAACTTCCAGCCAAACATCCAAAGTCTTTCTAGTTTTAAGGCTCAGAGATTTTTGCTCCTGCATCTGGTCCCACCTATATGGCAGAAATGCAGCCAGAAACATATGGTTTTTAGCCCTTCTAATGAAAGATATACCTCAATTCCGCCTAAGAGACCCAGAGTTTAATCCTAACGACGATGTCTTCTTCCCCGCAGCATTGCTCATCTCTTCTAAAGCTGTACTGCAGAGACATGATTCCTAATCTGTCTTTCCCTTTATTTCCATTCCTAATCCGCAGTTTCTTTTCTTTAAAATTATTCTAAGAGTAACTCATAATTCACAATTGAGAATTAGTTACAAAGGGCTAGATCTGCATCATATTTCTCCCCCAAAAAAGAGTCTAAGATAATAAGCTATTGGTCTACTACCTAATAATTGGTTTTTATCCCCTCTCAAGTTTTATCAAGATATATGCTCTCAAAATAAGATTTATTTTTATTTAAATAATAGCCATGTGCCTCCTCTTCTTTGGAAGAGAGTTGTATTTTAAAAATCAAACATAATGACCAAATAATTGCTGCCTTGTAGACTGCAGGGTATATGTTCTTTTTTATCACAGACTGGTCTGTGTGCTGTGGGTATCTTGCATAAGATCTGGAGACTCCATGAAGAAAGGAAAATGCACGGGGCCTGTGCTCTGTGCATTTATGAAACTAAAACAAACTGGAATGTAAGCAATAGCAAATATCCTCACAGGTACTAAATGACATATGAGCCAAGTTATGCATTATAGCATAAACTGGAAAAATCAAATGTCCATGATGAGGTACTAGTTAAATGAATCACAATATATCCAAATTGTGGGATACTATGCAGACATTAAAAAGAATGGGTTTCAAAATATATTTTTAAGTGAAAAAAAGGTCAGTGGGAATTGTGTATTTTTTATTAAAAAGTATGCATAAATACACATACACATGTGTAAGTGTATGTATAAATAACTTGCTTCTATATGTGTAGGAAATCTCTGGAAAAACACACAAAAATCTGGCAAAATTGATTATCTTCTGAAAAGGAAATTGAATGGCTTTGGCTCAGGGTAAGAGGGGAGAATTATTTCACCATTAACTCTTTTATATTCTTTTGAGGTTTATCACCAAGGGCCTGTATTAACTATTTAAAACAACAAAGATAATTTAAGAGTAAAAATAAGCAGTATGAAGGTCAGTGAGCTTAATGAATATCGAGTGCATTCAGAACAATGACAACCACAAATGAACACCCTTTGTCAGTCCCTTGTACGTTGTGTGTCTTTCTAGAAACCTTGGGGTAAAGGCTGTACTTAAGACGAGGGTCTAGAATTGAAAATTGCAAGAATGTCAGCTTCAATTCTCATAGAGACTGGGCATGACCTATTCTGTGAACAAGCCAGAAAAACAATTTCCTAAAGCAAAGATAAGAAAGAAGGGACAGGAGGGGTGCCTGGGTGGCTCAGTTGGTTAAGCATCTGCCTTTGGCTCAGGTCATGATCCCAGGGTCCTGGGATTGAGTCCCACATTGGGCTCCCTGCTCAGTGGGAAGCCTGCTTCTCCCTCTCCCTCTGCCCCTCCCCCTGCTTGTGCTCTCTCTGTCTCTCTCTCAAATAAATAAATAAAATCTTAAAAAAAAAAATAAAAGAAGGAACAGGAAATTTGCTTTACCTGGAGAGGAACAACTCTGGAAATCAGGTGGTCAAAATACTTATCAACTGCTTCAACAAAGCCCTTGTAGGTTGTTCTCAATATCATCTTGGGGTCTTGCAGCAACCAGCTGGGGGCCAAAGGGGACAAGCTCAGTGTCTGAGGTGGGAGGGTAGAGGCGAGGGTAAGTGGGGGTGGGGCTTTGGCAGTTTTACATCCTTTGAGCTCATGTCCATGGTCCTGGAGCACTCAGGGGTCCTGAAGGGATGTGTCCATGTCAGGTTTTTGGACCATTCTCACAGATTTAGAAGAAAAGATACCAACTCCATCTATATGACACTTTACAACTTACTATCAAGACTTGTATTCCCACATCTTAATGAGAGGTAGTTTAACCTTTCGTTAAATACTCTCTATTCTTGTTCAGGTCATTAAAAACATTTTTCTTGAGCACAGTGTATACACCTTAGGCAGAGGTTGCATTTCCTCTAAGAGCTGAGACTTCCAGCACAGAGTAAGAGCTTATAAGCCAGTAAGCACGCCTCCAGATCACCTGTAAAGTACTGGGCAGGGATCCAGCTAACCTGCACCATGAACTGCTTCTCCTCTAAGGCGCCCTCTTCTTCAAGGTCAGGTATTTTCTGCTTCTGAGCTGGGATGGGAGAACAAGCTCATCTTGGAGAAAAGTAATGCTTTTACCTGACAAAGGAAAGTAGAAGTGCTCACCTGGAGCAGAGCCATGGACTAAATGGGCAGTCCTGTCAGCTTGTGACAGTAATAGAAGGGCATTCTTGAATTCTCACCCTGAACCTTAGTTGTTTGCATTGAGGGCAAGCATCACAGATGAGAGAACAGGCAAAGAAAAATGAGAGGGAAAGGAGGGGGACTGAAGGTTCTTAGTACAGAGAATTTGGTCTTCCACTGACAAAATAAGAGAAAAATCAGTCATGGTTAGAACAAGCCCATTCTTCAGTGTCTAAGGCTTCCTCCCATTCTTCTCACCACAGGCCAGAGTTGGGCATAGCTCCCTCCAGTGCGGAAAAAAGACTGTGATCATCCTGATGCTTCCTCTCCCCCTGCACACTCTTGGCCACACACCCAGAGCACCGGGACGATGTGTCATCTATAAAATAGGGATTACAAGAGCACCTACACCTCACCATATTACTGCAACCACTGCCTGAGACGATGTATGTAAGGCAAATAACAGTGCAAGACACAGAGGATATGCTCATTTGTTATTAGACTGAAGTTTTATGTTTAGTAAAGCCAACAAATAAACTTTACTACAACCACAACTCTGGACTCACAGCCCCACTCACCTGGGCAAGCCCCCAAGGTCAATCTCACTGCAGATGTAGGGGCCTGGACGCAAAATCACCCACAACCCGATCTCCGCAGCCATCAGCACAAAGGCCCTAGGGAGGTCAGTGTTAGCAGCTCTCAAGACACAGAGGGGAGGGTGGGCACAAGCCCAGCATCATAAGGTGGTGGAGCTGCCCAGCTCCTCTCCTCCCTCCCTTCACAGGCCCTGGGAGCTGGGTTCTCACCTGCTCCCAGCCCAGGACCTTCTGCACAGCCCCACTGGGGGCATAAGGAGGAAGGGCATCAAACAGGGTATGGGGGGGTCCTAACAGTGAACCTGACCCCAACAGCCTTGCGACCATAGAGGGGCAACCCCTGTCCCAGCACAGGCGGCTGGCCCACACTGCAAAGCAGGGCAGACACTGGGGATTAGGCATCTCTGGGCTGCAGTGAAGAGGTCTGGGCTCAGAAGAGGCAGACCCAGGCCCCCAGGAGTAACAGGTTCATGGAGAGCATGTGGGTCTTGAGAACAAGGCTCCTGACCCGCCTCTGTCTGGTTCTCAAAGCGGAACCGAGATGGTCCCATGGTTCCTGATCAACCCCAAGGGGCCACCTCTCTGCCTCCCCACCCCAGGCCAGGCCATAGAAGCAGCAGGAGCACTTACTCCAGGTCCAGGTTCCCAGAGAAGTCAAATTTGCCTCTTTCTGGCTCATGGAGGTTCCACGGAACATAGCTGTAATAGGGAAGGGGGAAGTACAATAAACATCTTCAGATTTCTTTCCTCTAAATTCCTAGGTCAGCCCCAAATCCATGCCAACACCTGGGATAGCTCTATTTTGGAATAAGTTGGAGTTTCTAATGGCAATTAAATATGTATTATGTGAACATTGATCATTGTCAATCGTTCCTTTCTTTATTACCCAGTTGTGGTCCAAGCTGCCAATAATCCTATGATTCTAGATTCCTTGAATTTATACATAAATTATCCCACTCACCACCCCATTCTACGTAATACCCATTAAACCTATAACGAAAAGGATAAAACCCTCAAATGCCTACGTATACCAAGAAATTTTTGCTAAGAATTAACCAAATAAGAATAGAGGAGGACTTCCTACAAGGATAATGGAGATGCAATAAAGAAAAGTGCCAGTATTAGATTTAGCAAGAAGGACCATGCCAGGCACCTCCCCCGACAGGGCTGAGCCTGTAGGAACAAAGGGATATGTGTAAAATTTTTATTAGGTGATATTTTTATTAGATGACTATCTTTTTTGTGTTTGTCACCAACAAAGTTCTTGAGTGTTGTGCCTCTAACCTCATTTTTCTCATTAGCTCTGTATTATATCTCATTAGCTTCTTATTACACAATTGTGCACAATGTAGATTTTTAGAATCCATATGTTGCATTGTGGTAGAACTGATTTTTTTTAAGATCTTTCGTTGTGAGGAGGAATGAAAAGTTGGTTTGCTCAAGACTTAAAAATGCATAATAAAGTTTATAGCTATGCACTAAGAGAACAGAATGAAAAAAATTGCTAAATGATGCTCACAAGTGACTTACTTTAAAGGATATTGCTGGGAAAAGTTGAAAACAAAAAGATGGAAAATGATATAGATGAGGCAAAATTATTCTAGCAATCTTAAATTGCAGGTAAAATGGACTTTAAAGCAAAAAAAAAAAAATCCCTCACAAATAGATGTTGAAAGGCATCAAATAATAAGAAAGGAAATGATCCATCAAGAAGATACAGTAATCACGACCTCATGTGCTCTATAACCAAAGCTTCAAGTCAAGGAGGAATTTACTGAACCAGAGAAAGGGATAAATCCATAGTCATAGTGGGAAGAGTTAAAATACTTCCCTAAGAAACAAAGAAAATAATGGCAAAAACTTGTAAGGATGTAAATTTGAATAACACAAATGAAAGGCTGAATCTAAGAAATACATAGAGAACTCAGTAGCCAAAGGTAGAGCACATATACTCTTAAAAACACATGCAACAGTCATAAAATACAAAATAAATCTCAACAGATCTCAAAAACTTACATCACATAGTCCGTGACCCCAAGATAAAAGCAACTAATTAGAAAATTATGCTTTAAAAATATGAAAAGTAAAATAAATAAATAAAACAGAAAGCATATTCCCAAATAGCTGAAATGTTTGAGACCAATGACAAAGTATTACACAGCAAAATTTATGGGATATGTAACCAAAGCAATAATTAGAGGTACACTCATATCCCTGAATAAATATATTAGAAAATGCAAAATCCTGGAAAGAAAATGAGCTAAATATTCAACTCAGGAGACAAGGAGAAAAGAAGGAAGTGGAGGAGGAGGAGGGGGAGGAGAGGGGGAGGAGAAGGTAGAGGAGGAGGGGGAGGAGAAGGTAGAGGAGGAGGGGGAGGAGAAGGTAGAGGAGGAGGAGGAGGAGGGGGGAGGAGAAGGTAGAGGAGGAGGGGGAGGAGCAAGTAGGGGAAGAGGAGAGGAGAGGGAGAAGGTACTAAATCAAATAAGGTAGAAGAGAGGAAATTATGCATCACTCAGAAATTACCAACTAGAAAACAAAAAGATATAGAGAATATTAATAAAGTTACAAGCTAGTTCTTTGAAAAGACTAAATATTTAGACAAGGAAAAAAAAAGGCCTAAATACACAATATGATGTACAACTTCCAAGAAAGAAAGGAGAATCTTTAAAAGTCCTAGTCGATCTAAAAGAAGAAAGAAAAGGAAAAAAGATCTACAGAATAAAAATAGTATATACTCTAGAAGAAAAAACAATAACCATTCAAGAAAGTTGAATCTTCACCTCACAACCACAAAAGATAGTAGTCACAGAGATTTTACAGGTGAATTTTAAGAAACATTCAGAGTAAAGAGAATTCTTTTGCAAGATAGTTTCAGAGAAGAGAAAAATTATATAGTCAGATGAGTTTATTATAAGACTGATCAAAACTGGACAAGATACTGACAGAAATACAATTTTAAATCAATTTCAGTTATAATCATAAATATATATATATCTGAAATAAAACACTAATAAATCAAGTCTAGCAATCTATATGTGTGTATGTGTGTGTGCATATTCACATGTGCATGTCTCGTAACCACATAGAATTTATCCCAGAGATAAATCTGTGGATTGGTTGAATATCAGAAAAATTGTCACTATAATTTACTACTTTAATAAAGAAGTGAAGAAAAACCATATAATTTTTTCATTAGATGTAGAAAAGCTCTCAATAAAACTCAGTGATTATTTATGATTAAATTCTTTGTATATTAGATGAGCCAATTATCAATTTACTGCCTCCCAGCTTCGGATGCAACCTTTAGTATCAGCTCTGCAGTAATGGATGCAGCCTGACCTTGAAGCAGTTTGTCCTTTGTAGTGAGTACTGTGCTTATCTTTGCCACAAGAGGACGGTGGAGAGACATTCAGGAGAAAAGGGGCGTCTCTTCTGATTGCAGTGCAGGTTTTGCATTTCTATGGTCCTGCTAGGTCTTATCAGTGGTGTAGGTGGGTCAGGACATCCGGTGGTTCTTTGTTTTTTAAATAATCAATGCATTGTAAGTATAATCCGTAACAACCAATGTAGAATTGCCCAGAAAGGCAAGGGAACGCAACTATTTTTTAATTGACATAATTAATGTCGTTAAAGATGTAAAACATTACATTACTTTAAATGCCCCACAGAGTTTTGCTAACATTTTTTTCTGCTCTTTCCCCTTCTATAGTGTAAGTTTAAGCCTCTCAGGACTGCCTTTACTTTTTCCTGATGTTACTAATAAAATCCCACAGCTTGACCATGAAGACAACATATCCTTCTGATTGCTGGTGATAAACATCTCACCAAGAAACAGAAAAATGAGTTCTGTCTCATAAAATGATAAAATGCCCTGCAGAGGGGACTTAACTTTACAAGACTTTACAAGCAGGGTTGCAAAGTGCTCTGAATGTCATCCTCAGTCTCGAAGTCCACAGTTATGAAAGGCGGTTGAGTTGCTTAGCTGCTGGAACCAGGTGTCTGAATTCAAAGCATAGCTCTGCTAATACTAACTATGAGTCTTGGAGCGAGTGCCTGAGTTTTCTCACCTATATAAGATAGTGATTACACTACTCACCATATAGTATTGATATAGTGACAATGTGAATTAATATTTTCCAGGGTTTAGAACATGCCTGGCTAAGTGTAAATACTATATTCATGTTCGCTGAATAACTAAAACTGGTTGTCATACTTTATAGTGTTGATATATGTAGATGGGGATCTCAGTGTTCTGTCAATGTCAGCATTGTTATATGAAGGGTGGGCTCCCCTGCCTTTTCTCCTTTTCTTTTTTTGTAAGATTTATTGATTTATTTATTTATTTGACACACAGAGAGAGACAGCTAGAGAGGGAACACAAGCAGGGGCAGCGGGAGAGGGAGAAGCAAGCTTCCCGCGGAGCAGGGAGCTGGACGCAGGGCTTGATCCCAGGACTCTGGGATCATGACCCAAGCCGAAGGCAGACGCTCAACGACTGAGCCACCCAGGCGCCCCAGCCTTTTTCTCCGATTCCAAAAACACCATTCCCATGAAGTTAACCTCATGTTCTTTCACGTGCACCCGTTACAGGGCTGCCTTCCTTGGAATGGTTTCTTGAGGCTTACCCTATAACCCACTTTTATCGACTCCCTTTTTGAACTTCAAGGCTTTTTTGGAAATAGGTTTGTTATGAAGGAATCGCCACTGTTCCTAACTCAAATGTGATTTTTGCTTCGGGCTGGTTTTCATTTGACTGGCCATCTGTGCACAGGCAGGAGCCTATGCCCATGTGTGACCTGGGCAGCATCCTCACTCACAGCTGTAGGGTCACACCCTGAGAAGAAGGTGGGAGGAGACTCACCCTGAGCAAGCTAGTTAAGCCCTCTATGCTTCTGTCATTTACCCCCCTGCACAGTGAGAATTACACTATCCATCTCACAGGACAGCTAGTTGTGAAGATTAAGTGATTTTGTGAAGATAATTACAAAATGCCCAGCCATCAGTAGACTCTAAATACACGTCACTATACACCTAATCATGTTAAAGATCACGCTAAATTTATCATGTTAAATGTATATTTAATCATGTTACATTTATATTTAAATTCTTATGATTGACTAAAGTAAGTTTGCATTTCTTTTTTTGCCATTAGAATTTAGTACATATACGTGCCAGGCATTGTGATAGGCACTTTTCACATAAATAAGGTAAAGGTTTTTTTTTTTTTTTAAGATTTTATTTATTTATTTGAGAGAGAGGAATGAGAGATAGAGAGCATGAGAGGGAAGAGGGTCAGAGGGAGAAGCAGACTCCCTGCTGAGCAGGGAGCCCGATGCGGGACTCGATCCCGGGACTCCAGGATCATGACCTGAGCCGAAGGCAGTCGCTTAACCAACTGAGCCACCCAGGCACCCAATAAGGTAAAGGTTTTATCTCATTTAATCATCAATACAAACTTATGAAGCAATTTTTATTTTGCCCATTTATGGACAAGGACACCAGGGCCCTAGGATATGATGCTTGGAGGCAGAACTGGGACTGAAGACAGGTCTGTCTGACCCTGCATCCCTATGCTCTTAATCATTAAGCTACAGTATTCATTCCCTTAATGCCATTAAACTTCACTTTAGTGATACTGGTATTTCCTTTGACGTATTCATTTCTTTTGATACTATTATTCCTTTACAAGCTCACCTCCATATACATAAATAAAAATTGTTTTTAAAACACCATGTATTGAGGCTCCTGGGTGTCTTAGTTAAGCATCTGCCTTTGGCTCAGGTCATGATTCCAGGGTCCTGGGATTAGATGGAGCCCCAAATCGGGCGCCCTGTTCAGCAGGGAGTCTGCTTCTCCCTCTGCTCCTACCCCCAGCTTGTGTGTGCCCGCGTGCGCGCGCACACACACACACATACACTCTCAAATAAATAAAATCTTAAAAAAAAACCCACCATGTATTTATTTATCTCTAAGTATACTTTGAGCCTTTGTCATTAAACTGAGAGCTCCTAAGGGACCCAATGACTCTCCCATTAGAGAGATTCTTGTGGCAATCACTTACTCCTTCTGTCTTTCTCTCATTAATCCCTACCCAAGGCTTTGACCACAGCAAACTAAGTGTGAAGTGTGACACTTAAGCATATAAGGCACATGCTAGAAATGACTATTCAGAAGGTAAACCCTCAGGCGGGGGTCCCAAATCCAGAGGCTCTGCGCCTGGATGCAGGGGTTAGGAATAGGGTAGCAAGGTCATAGAGGGCTAGAGGGCCAGCACTCACGTGGTAAGGGTGTTGAAACCACAGGCCTTCAGCTTCAGCAAGCGGTCCCTCCAGTACTCCCTGGGCACCCGGAAATAATGGATGGAGCCCCCGAAAATCAGGAACTTGTGACCCCCCAGGGTGAAGTATGGCTTACTTCCGACTCTGCTTTCAGTCTCAAGTCCCACAGATCGGTCCTTCAGTGTGAGGGGGGTCAGGTGAGACCAATTAAACATGCTGAGAGAGAGGGAGAGAGAGAGAGAGAGAGAGATCGGCCAGGCCGCCATAGCCTTAGCGGAAAGGGACGTTCTTGTGGCAGGACCCTCTCTGAGCATCCTGCTGCTATTATCTTCTCCAAGAAAGGAGACCCCCCCCCCCTGCCCCACTCAGGCAAACCTGTACCGGGCTGGCTGTAGCTGTGCATTTGCATATATAAGACCCACTTTATCTTTCACTGGGGGAGCAAAACCTGATAAGATAAGTGGCACGAAACAGATGCACAGGATTCTTTTCCAGGAGAGATACCGGCTGAAAAGAGAAAGAAAGAGCAATGACCAGGGGAAGGCACTGGGCTTATCAAACTCTAAGGATTAAAATGCTGCTCTAGCGGCAGGTTAGTTGCAAGAGCCACGGAGGAGACTCATATCAAGGTAGGTCTTCTAAGCTAGCCTAGTGCGCAGGGAGACTGCGGCTTTACCTGCATCCACTGAGGTCCCCTGCACCACCCCGGCTGTCCCACAGCCCACCTCAGTCCCGACAGAAAGATGAGGATAGACAGTCCTAGAAGCCCACAGCCAGGAACAGGACAGGGCAGCCGTGGGAACTGGGGAGAGGCGGTCCTAGGAAAAGGTGGAGGAGGGCTAAGGGGCTCAATGAGAGGTGGGAGCACTCAGGCTGCAGTGTCCGATCCCTGGGGCATTTTGTCACCATCCACAAGCTGATTTTCTTCTCTCTGGGATAATGGAACAGACTCTCAGCAGGGCTCGGGCGGATCTAAGGTGTGGACAGAAGAGCTTGAGGACCGAAAGCCTGAAAGGCGAGTCGATGAGGAGAAGCTCGGGCAGATAGGAGGACCCAGGGGGACGTCCCAGTCCAAAGGGGCCCTTGCTCCACATCATGACCCGGGGCCCAGCGAAATAAACTCCTGTAGATGGCCGGCTGACTAACAGAACCGGGAGGGAGGTCTAGCAGGGCCCCGGGTTAGCGCGTTCGGGGCTACCCAGCAGCCCGGCTGGGCGCGAGGACCACTGCGCCTGGAACTGCGGGCTGCGCTGCGGGGCTGCGCTGCCGGGGCAAGGTCACCTGAAGCGCCGCGGGGTGCCCATCACGCACCGCCGGGGGGAGCCGAGGTCCCGCGCTGCTCCCCGCCGCCTCTCCGCTGACCCGGACGCCGCGCACCGGAGCGGGGGAGCCTGCCAAGCAGTGCCAAGGAGGTCTCGAGCTCGGGCGGGGAAGGCCGAGCACCGCACCCGACCCAGCGTGTCGGAACTGCCTGTGTGCGCAGATGCCTTTCAGCTGGTGCCAGTAATGTGGGAGGGTCTTGAGCTATGGCCATGACCTTGGTTTTCCTATAATGTGTGTCACCAGCCAACTGGGAGGGAAAGGCGGCGATAAGTGGGAGGAAAAAAGGAAAACTTTGCCTACGCGTGTTCCGCGGGCTCAGCGACTGTGGAGAGTGCCCCTCTGGCTGAAGACAGCGCGTCCAAACCAATGGATGCATTGTGCACGCAGACGAATAGTTCCAAAACGATGAGTAAATGCCAAAATAAAGGTTCTACAGGGTGCGATAGAGGTGCAGGTGAGGGACACAGGCTACCCTGGAGGAGTATAGTTTAACCAAACCGAGTCTGTAAAATAAGAGAGTTATCAGAGCAAAGAAGGGAGTGCTATTCCTATCAGTGGAACAGTTTGGAAGTATCTACATAGGTTATGAAAGAAGTACAGCGTGGAATTCTTTGGTTTCAAACTAGCAGGAGATGGGGCTGGAGAGATCAGATCAGGAGGAGGCAGGCCAGGGAGGGCAGTGGAGACAAAGAACTGCTTCAGTTCAGTCTCTTTCCAGAGATTTCAAGCAGAAACTAAGTCAGATAGTAATTTTCTGGAGATCAGGAGAGACTGCAAGGTGTGGGCTGGATGGAAAACAGGTCATCCCAATATATGTGGTGATCCCAGGATAAGGGATGGAATTGTTCTCATGGTGGTAATATTAAGCAAGAGGATGGAGTTGATTTAAGAAAATTTGGGGAGGTAGAACTGGTAGCTTTTGATAAGTGATTGGATGAGGCAGATGATACAGAGAGAGGAGTCTGGGATGACACCGTGTCTCAGCCTAAGTGACTGGGGTAGATGGTGGTGACATTTTCTGAGATGAGAAACACAGGAAGTGGCAGAGGTTTGACTAAACAGAGAACAGTGATGTACCCAGCTTGGAACCTGCTGGATTTGAAGTCCCTGTAATGAAGAGAAGCCTTCTGATTTTTCTCTTCGAAGTCTTTGCTTTTTCTCTCCCATTTGAAAGAACAAAGCCTGTGGTATCAGGTTGCAATTAGGACTACAGTTTTCAGGAAATATGATGGGTTTTCTTCTGTTGTCTCACTTATTATAAGTATACTTTTTTCAGCAACTCTGTAGATTATCCATCTTTTTTCTCAGTCTTAGCTTGGAAGCAATGGATTTTTGGGTCTCTCTACATCTTACACAGGAGAATGATATTTATCTTCTTTGAATATACCCTGTTTTGTAAATTTGGTTTTAAGAGCTACAAACATTTATTCTTTGTCAAGATTTTAAAAACTATTCTAGGGCTTGTGCCTTTCCATATAAAATGTAGAATAAGCTTGTCTCTTTCTACAAAAAGCCATGCTAAAATTTGGATAGGAATTGCAATTGCCCTGTAGATCCAATTCTGGAGATTTGACATCTTTACTATGTTGAGTCTTCAAATCCATGAACATGCTATGTGTCTCCATTTCTTTTGGTTTTCTTCCACTTTTTTAAATCAGAATTTTGTGATTTTTTTTTTTTACACAGATCCTATGCATGTTTTGTCAGGTTTATACCTCAGTGTTGCAAATTCTTTTGAGTGATTTTAAATGGTATTATATTTTTAAGTTCAGTTTCAGCATGTTCAGTCTTAGCATCTAGAAATGCCATTAGGTTTCTTTTATTGATGTTGGATTCTGTGACCGTGGTAAACTCACTTATTAATTCTAGGTGGTTGTTTTAGGAATTAAAAATCCAATTCTTTGGGATCTTCTACAGAGGCAATCGTGTCATCTACAAATACAGACAGTTTTATTTCTTTCTGTATGTATTTTATTTCTTTTTCTTATCTAATTGTGGCAGCTAGAATTTCTAGTACTATGTTGAATAAGAGTGGTAAGAGCTGACATCCTTACTTTGTTCCTAGACTTAGATAAAAAATATTCAGTCTTTCAGCATTAAGTATGATGTTAGATGTGGGGCTTGTGTATATGTTTTTTATCACGTTGAAGTAGTTTTCTCTATTCCTAATTTGCTGAGAGTTTTTATTATGAATGGTGTTGAATTTTGTCAAATACTTGAATCCTGTCTTCATTTTTTATAACATTACCATCCTAATTTTCTTCCTGAAACATACTTTTACCAGATATAGAATTTGCAGGTGTGTGATATTATGTGATATAATGAGAAATATATATTTGGTCTTCATTTCCAGTTCCTGCTACACAGCTCCTAAAATACTTGGAATTTCCAGAGTGAAAGAGATCAGAAGAGCATTTTTTGTTATTCCTAACAAGCCTTTTTCAAGCATGTCTGAATTTATGTTAATGAGGTAACTTTTGGAAAGCCCCTCAAGATGAGGAACCGGTTACCAGGGGACATAATCATGTGATTAGAGAGTTGGAACTTTCAGCATCTGCTCCCCTCCCAACCCCAGCTTTGACCTCTGGGGAGGGGAGAGGGGCCAAAGACTGAGTTAATTACCAATGGCCAGTGATTTAATCAATCATGCCCATATAATGAAGTCTCCATGAAAACTCTAACTGAAACGGTTCAGAGAGCTTCCACGTTGATGGACACGTGATGAGGTGCTGGGAGGGTGGTAAGCCCAGAGAAGGTGTGGAAGCTCCATGCTCCTTTCTCATATCTGGCCCTATGCATCTCTTCCACCTGGCTGCTTTTGAGTTGCATCAAAATTATAACTGGTATAATAATATTATAATAAACTGGTAAACCTAAGTGTTCCCAGGGTTCTGTGAGCAGTTCTAGCAAATATCAAACATGAGGAGGGAGTTTTGAAAAACTGATTTGTAACCAATCAGAAATACAAGTGACATCCTGGGACCAGCATCAAATGGGGTAGGTAGGGGATGGTCATGTGAGATTGAGCCCTTAACCTGTGGGGTATGTTCCTTGGAGTGGATAACCATTATTGCTTCAAAAATTCTTTCAACCCAACTTTCTTTCTCCTCTTCTTATCAGATTCCAATGATGTAAATGTTAGATGTGTTTATTATTTGTTACTTTCCCACAGGTCCCTGAGTTTCTGATTATTATTATTATTATTATTTGGCCTATTTGCTCTCTGTTGTTCAAATTGGGAATTCTTGGATCTTTCCCTCTATCCCCTGCTGTGATTATGTCCCTGCCTACCCTGACGTCTTTGGACACAGGAGTATCTCAGGACTGCAAAAAGAGAGAGACTCCCCAAAGTGGCCCCTGCTGTTGCTGGAAGCTCTTCCTATTGTGCCTGCCTTGGTGTCACTGGATACAGAAAGGGAGTCCCTAGTCTAAATGACAACTTGGTATTTTATTTGGAGTATTAATACTAAAACCTAAGCCTAAAAGAAATGTGTACACAATCTGTCACACTTTCAATTTTGGAAGAACTGTCCTATACATAGAAATTGAAAACTGCTTACACTAAGATATAAGCAAGGATAATAAAAATATTTAAAGCCATAACTTAGAACAGGTCGTATCATCTGGTAATGTCTCAAAATTGAAATTCATGTATTTGGTTGTAGAAAAGAAAGTAGATTTTTAGCTTATTTGGATTGTATTCAGGAGGAAAGTTGTCAGATGGAAGGAAGAAAATGCTATAATGATCTTAAGAAATAAGAAATGAAAATAATCTGTAATAGAAAATGTGCCAAATGCCTTTGTATTAGTGGGAAAATATTAGGACAGAATAACCATAATGAATCTAGAACATAGTTCTCTCTCTTGCTTCTAATACCTTCAAGGAAAAAAA